TGTAACAAATGACTAAATGTAACAGAGTAAAATGTGAAAATCAAATCTACTCCGGTAAAGTTTCGATTTTGTAAACTACTTTAGAAATAAAAAGAACAGTCATTAGAGTAAAGTTGTTTAGCCTCTTAATATCCACCTCATTTTGGGAATTTCTGGCCTATTTTGCATAACCAAATGGAAAAAAATAACTTAGGAACTGTAAGCCCAAATTAAATGCGTGATACATTATTTGAAAGCTAACTTCTTCTAGTTTCTGAATATATACATGAAGGTGTTTTTTTGAAAAACAGTTATATAGACATGCTTGCTTGTTGTGGCTGCTTTGTCATGGTACATTTTGACATGCTGCTATATGTGTGTTAATTGTGCTCACTGTGTCCATTGAATTGTGGAGAATCTAAGCTTTCCAAAAATGTCTAACATGTCTATATTGGTAAACATTTTACAAGTGTAATTTTCATGCATTCTAAGGAATTATTTGTAAATGCTTTAAAACGGTGGGTTTGAGAGATCAGTTACTTTTCACCCACAGACTTATAAAACACAAGCAGTTGCAACCACTAAAACAAGATGAAGAACTTCACAGAACAAATAAGGAAATCAGAGGATAATCATCAATCAATAACAGAAGAAAAATTAGCAGAAAAGGTGATATGATTTATGAAAGAGTTCCTCAATGAATGTCTTTTAGGTCCAGTGTCCTGCACCTTTTATGTGTCTCTGTCTCCACACACCTGAATAACTGGCTTAGTTTCCTCCTCAGTGTGCAGCCAATGGCCCAGTCCTAACACTCAAACTAAACACTACGCCCCTCTATGAAGTGTGCATCTGGAGGAAATGCACTTACACTAACAGCGCAGNTGCAGCCAATGGCCCAGTCCTGATACTCAAACTAAACACTACGCCCCTCTATGAAGTGTGCATCTGGAGGAAATGCACTTACACTAACAGCGCAGGTGACAAGTGATCTTGACAGTTGGGAAAGTACTTGTGCTCGACATTGGAACAGACATAGTGACAGGACCAAGCCTTATTTTTGTAATGTTACTGTTTCAAAAATATCTTTAAAATGCAACAACAAATCATTTTATAAATTATTTTGAGAATTACGTCTGAAAACATTTTTTTTTACATTCTTATACATTTCTCTAAGGTCCATATTTGTGTGACCATTTTTTTTCTATTATCTTTTTGCTGCTGTAAACACCAGACTTTCCCCATTGTGGGACAATAAAAGGATTTTCTATTTTCTATTCTAAAACGATTTTTCACTGATACTGTACATTCCAAAAGAACATAAAATATAGGCCATTGTTTCCATCTGTAATTTAACCAAATTTATAAGCAACTACTTCAAACATGAATTTCTTCTTTAAAATGTTATTATCCATGCATAACGACCAGGACTACAAAGATGAGGTGCAGCGACTGGTGGGATGGTGCAGAGATAAGAGCCTGATCCTGAATTTGAAGAAGGAGATTATCATCGACTTCAGGAAGAACCAGCCTAACCATGTTCAACTGCTTATCAACAGCTCAGCTGTAGAGGTGGTCGAAGAGAGTAGAAGAGGAATATGAATCTCACTGGAGTTAAACGCGCTGTTAAGTCAATGTGTGCAATTTTGTGCTGAAATCTCTAAAAAGAAAGGCCGATGACGTATTCAGAAAATAAGACATGAATGAGCAAACGTGGCTACTATGGTCTGTCAATTTCACAGAAATAACTCTATTTCACTCATTGCATCCCCACCATGCTTCTATGTTGGGAGGAAGAAGAAGAATCTTTGTTTGCGCACTGAGCGATTTGCCCACGACCGTCGACTGAAAATCAAACATTCTTTTCTCCCTACCCCACGATTCCTGATCGGGAGGTGGTCGTNTTGTTTGCGCACTGAGCGATTTGCCCACGACCGTCGACTGAAAATCAAACATTCTTTTCTCCCTACCCCACGATTCCTGATCGGGAGGTGGTCGTGAGAGGGTGATCGCCCCTGGTTACCCCCTGTACACTATATGACGCACGATTCAGGCTGAAAGTCAGCCTGATTGAAAAATTCTCACACGACTGGAAAGTTGGCCTGAAAAGGGCAAAAAAACACACAGTGTATGCCCGCCTTAAGACAAGAATCAGGTGACAATCAAAGGACAGGAGACCCATGGATAGTTAGAAGGTAACTTTTGAGGTAGAAAGAGATCAAGTGGGAACTGATATAAGGACTAGAGGTGTGAAAGTGATTAAAAGTGAATGACAGGCTCCTCTTTTGCTCCAGTTGATGAACTTGGTTAAGAGGGTGTGCTGAACCACACTGCTCAGCTTCTTGCTCTTTCTTCTAGATAGAGGAACATCACACAAAGTATGGCAAAGGTTTATTTCTATGGATGGCAAAATTCAGGGGCAAGACAAATGGTGTACATGAGAAAAAGAAAAGTAAATTGCACAGGAATAGAGGCAATAAAATCGTATTAGAGAGGGTAAGATTGAACAATTAAAATAAGACCATTAAATATATTTAAATAGAATGACAACTGGACTTGGAAACGTCACTAAAACCTATGTTATTAATGTAGACTTAAAACAACTTAAGGTTTCAGCACTTTTACACTTTTTTTGGAGTTTATTTTAGATTTATGCAGCACATATATTAAAAGCAGCTTCTTCATATTTGGTTCTGGTTCTGGGCCCCGAGACAAAAAGTCTGTAATGTGTTTTGGAGATATGGCATTGTAAATCCCTTTCATTGTCCCATAGGGTT